CACCACACCATCACACCATCACCATCATCACCACACCATCACACCATCACCATCATCATCACCACACCATCACACCATCACCATCATCACCACAGCATCACACCATCACCATCATCATCACCACACCATCACACCATCACCACACCACCATCATCACCATCATCACCACACCATCATCATCATCACCACACCACCATCATCATCACCACACCATCACACCATCACCATCATCACCATACCACCACCATCATCACCACACCATCACACCATCACTATCATCACCACACCATCATCATCATCACCACACCATCACACCATCATCATCACCACCACCATCATCACTGTGACTGCTGGTTATTAAATGCAGCCCCTTGCCCAGGACTGGGCCAAGAATCTCACCCACATCCTCATTTTCCTTAACAATCTTCCCAGGCAGATATTTTTATCCCCATTTTACAGAAAAGGAAATCAGGGCAGCCCAAAACAACCCAGAAATGTGCACTATTATTTTTGCACTCCATTTGTCACTCACAGGTGTCTCTTGCCCCAGCTGGGCCACCTCCAGGACAGGCTGCTCTGTCCTTCCTGAAGGTCTGGGCTCAGAGCAACTCGAGTAGGGGTGGAGTCAATGCCCAGGGCTGTGCCCTACTCCTGGGAATGCCCGTTGGGGTTATGGTCCTTAGGCAAGGGTGTGTGTGTCAGCTGTGGAGGAGTGTGACCAGCTCCCGAGCCATGTACAGGCCGATCCTCCCTTGGTACCCACAGGTACTCCTTCCAGGATGAGGAGGACATGTTCATGGTGGTGGACCTGCTCTTGGGTGGGGACCTGCGTTACCACCTGCAACAGAACGTCCAGTTCTCTGAGGACACGGTGAGGCTGTACATCTGTGAGATGGCTCTGGCCCTCGACTACTTGCGTGGCCAGCACATCATCCACAGGTGTGTGCATACCTGGCAGGGTGAGGCACCTGCTGGGCCAACTGAGGGGTGTCCACTACCCAGCAGAGCCTGGTCTGGCTCCTCTGCCCCACCTGTGTCCCCAGCCCTGCGTCTGGCTGTGACACCTGTTCCAGGCTCAGCCCCACAGCTGCACACTTGGGCTCATCTAAAGGTGGGCCCTGTCCTAGAAGCCTTCCTGAGGTTCTCTCATGTGTACTGCAGGGCCTGGCTGCATTGGATGGCCTCCTGTTTAACTGCAGGCTCTCTGTTAGCGCCTCCACTGTGTCCCTGGGGAGCTCAAGCTCGTTTTCACATTAGCTTAATGCAGATGAAATTGGGAAGCAGGTGAGGAAGCACATTATGAAGTGGATAAAATTAGGAAGCAAAAATTGGGAAGCAGAAATTAGGCTGAAACTCTGCAGCCACAGAACAAAATGAAAAACAAGCTATGAGGTGTATGATAAAATTGAACAGACCTATTTCCGCACCTGTGCCCTCGGGGCTTCTGTTGTCAGGCTGTGGTTCAGGCACTGGATGGTCACTGAGTCACTGAGCCTCAGCTGGGAAATCTGCCAAGTCAGAGCAGAGAGAGGCTGGAGGCCGAGTTGTTCTCCTGAGGGACGCGCCAGGGGGTGGAAGGATAGCCGGTGCCTGTGGTTGTTTTTGTAGCAGTTGCTACAGCCCCATCTGTGTTCTGTGCTGGGGTACCCTGCTATGGAAGCCCAAGGTGGGGGATTTGGCCATGCCCCCACGCCAGGCAGGGAGTGGCTGGTTTTGCCTTCCAGCCTCTGCCTCTGGTGGGTGTGGAGGCATCTTGGGAGCCCTTCTCAGGTCAGGATCTCCAGGGCAGGAATAGGGTAAACCCCAGGACTCATCTGCTCACCTCTGCCTCTTCTAGAGACGTCAAGCCTGACAACATTCTCCTGGATGAGCGGGGTAAGCAGCCAAGGGGCAGGCAGGCGGGTGGGGGGGGAGGTAGTGCCCCCGCTCACAAGGACACAGCTCTGGGCATGGGACAGTTGCACCTCTCCTCTCTCCCACAGGACATGCACACCTGAGTGACTTCAACATTGCCACCATCATAAAAGATGGGGAGCGGGCGACGGCATTAGCGGGCACCAAGCCGTACATGGGTAGGTGCATGGTGCGGGCCTCCAGTGGGTAGGCCCATGGGGGTGGGGGTCTGAGAGTAGGCCCGTGGGGGATTCTGGAGGCAGCTGACTCCCCCCAGGCAGGAAGGGCAGATGCAGCGGCTTCTCCTCCCGCTCTGGGGGCAGCCCAGACTGGGGCAGGGCCTCCAGCCCGCTGATAGCTCCCCTGCTCCTTCTCTTGCTGGCAAAAGCTCCAGAGATCTTCCACTCTTTCGTTAATGGAGGGTCTGGCTACTCCTTCGAGGTGGACTGGTGGTCGGTGGGGGTGATGGCCTACGAGCTGCTTCGAGGATGGGTATGAGCTCCCGAGGGCCCTGGGTGGCCGAGTGCCAGGGAAGGATGTGGCTGCCCCCACATCCGATGCCCAGGGCATTTTCATCCCCCTCCTGGAGGACTCATGCCTTTAGCAAAGCATCTGGGTCACTGATGAAATGCTTGAGTAAAGGAGGCACAAACTCACTGTGGGGGCCCCGGGGCCATGGGTGGGGTCTGCATGTTGGCCCTTGTGGAGGCAGACAGGGCCCAGAACTGTCTAGCAACAACTTCTCACAAGGTGCCTGCATGGGGCCCTCTGCTCCCCCTTCTGGTGACCATGGCTAGGCTGGCTAGAGACCAGGAGGCGGGGTATTGCCCCAGGCCATATACTGCCCTCTTCTGCCCCTCCCAGGGGCTGTCCAAGGCACTGGTATCCCTCAGCCAGCCATAGGACCCCACCGTAGAGGCAGCTCCTCCTACACACCTGCAGGGCATGGCCCCTCAGCTCTTCTGTGTGGTGCTGAGCTGTGCTGCATGTGGGTGAAGGGTGGGCACTCAGGGTGCAGGCACCTGTGGGTGGCATTAGTCCAGGGGATCGGGGCAAGGGCGCCTGCCCAGAGCTGCCTCCCTCCCCCCAGAGACCCTATGATATCCACTCGAGCAACCCAGTGGAGTCCCTGGTGCAGCTGTTCAGCACCGTGAGTGTCCAGTATGTGCCCAGCTGGTCCAAGGAGATGGTGGCCCTGTTGCGGAAGGTGAGGCTGTGGTTTGCGGCTCTCAGCAGCGCCACCCCCTCCCCCCGACACACACACTTGTAGCCAAGCTGCCTCAAGGCTCAGCGAGGACTGGCCTGCCAGGGGACTCTCCCACCCCCAGTGAGCCTCTTCTCCCTCCAAGCCCTGTGAAATTCTGGCTACACCTGCCCAGGTGTCTCACAAGAGAGGGCCTGAGCGGGAGGGAGTGATCCACTCAGCCAAGCCCATGCCTCAGAAACCTCACGCAGGGTTGGCGGCATTTTCCCTGGAAAGACGGGGCACCCATTTGGTGAACTAGGCAGAGGCAGTTGGCTGCTGGGATGCTGCTGCCCTGGTGATGCCTGGCTGCCTGGAACCTATTGGGTGGTGGAGGGTTATGCTGAGATGTAAGTGGCTTGGGATACTGTCAGGCCAGCTGTGTGCCCAGTGTTCCAGGGAGAACCATTAGCCAGGTTACGGCTGCCACCTCCTGGTGGATCCTGGCAGGATGTTTCTGGTGCAGACGCTGTCTGTGGCCCTTGGGCACCAAGGCTTCAGCCCACACTGCTCAAACCCCATTGCCTCATCACCTTGCTGGGCTGAGCACATTGCTCTTCCCAAGTTAGTGCCAGCTTCCCTTACATCACCCTAGAGGTGCCAAACTTCTGCACCTCAGGTCTGGAGACCCCTCCTCCTAGGGTGCCCACGCCCAGGGCAGGTGCCAGGGAGGGCTGGTCTGGCAGGGCTTCCAGACCAGGGGCCCCATCTGACATGGGCCTCGCTGCAGCTCCTCACCGTGAACCCCGAGCACCGGCTCTCCTGCCTCCAGGACATGCGGGCAGCCCCATCACTGGCCAGCGTGCCGTGGGATGATCTGATGGAGAAGAAGGTGGAGCCAGGCTTCGTGCCCAATGTAAGCCTGTGGATAGTGGCTCGGGGGCGGGCAGCAGGCCTGCGGGCCTCGGCTCAGCACCCTGTCCCCGCAGAAAGGCCGTCTGCATTGTGACCCCACCTTCGAGCTGGAGGAAATGATTCTGGAGTCCAGGCCCCTGCACAAGAAGAAGAAGCGGCTGGCCAAGAGCAAGTCCCGGGACAACAGCCGTGACAGCTCCCAGTCGGTGGGTACTGGCCAGGGGTGGGGGCTCCCCACAGGGGCTCAGGGCCCCCGTCCACATCCCTGCATAGCAGGCTAAGGTCCTCCCCTCCAGGGTCCTGCAAGACCCTGGCAGACCACACATTTCAAAAGTCTGGCAGACAGTCTGCCAAGGTCCCGAGGAGGCCCAGGACCCACCTCCTGCTTTCCTCACCAAATGCTTCTTCTGAGGTGGGTTGTGCAGGGCCCCTGGGAGCGGCTGTGGCATTACCTGGCTAGGTGCATTAGCATCCTGGGGCTATCCAAATGACCACAAGCCAGGAGGCTGAAGCAACAGACAGGTGGTGGCACAGCTCTGGAGGCCTGAGCCTAAGTGTCGGAGACAGGGCAGTGGTCCTGCTGAGGCCTCCCGGGGAGGGAGAGCCCCGTCAAGCCTCTCCTGGAGAAGGGCTGCACTGTCATCCCTGGCGTTCCTTGGCTCTTAGACACATCACTCCTGTCCCCGATTCTGCCATAACATGGCCATCTTCCCATGTGTGCACCTGTTCCACCCTCTTACCAGGACAGTGGTCACTGCGGTGTACAGCTCACCTATCCTCAAAGACCCTGTTTCCAAATAAGGTCCTGTTCACTGGTACCTGGGATTCGATAGTGTTCATAGGTATTAAAACATGCCTTTCAAGGGGACGCCACTCATCCTGTAACACCAGGGCACAGCTGGTGTTCACCAAAGAACAGCCACAGTTATGTGTCACGTCAGGGTGACAGTGGTGATGCTGGGCTCGACCGCTGCCCTTGCCCCTTCCCCTGTGTGACCCCTCAGACCTGTATGCTCTGTGTGGGCTGGGAAGATGGGCATCAGTGCCTCCCCACTGTGAAGTGGGGTCCAGGGCTGGGCCCCTCGGTCTTTAGATAACACAGGTCCTGTGGGTGGGTGAGGTGCCCACCCACTGCCCCCTCCAGGACTGCTGGTGCTGACCCCTGGTGTCCAATTGGAGGTAGAGGCTGCGGGGACTGCATTGAGGAGCCAGTCTGAGTCACAGGATGGTTGGCAGGTGCTGGTGGGCATCCTTATACATCCTACTATTAAGTGTGTGAATTCCACTTAACCAGATCATCTCCAGAGCTGGGGTTTTAGGGTACACAAATAGGCCCAGGGTGCACTCATAAGAGAACAGGGCCTGGACAGTATGCAGAGCCCACTGTGTCAGTGCTGACCTGCCCAGGAGGTGGCTGGGACAGGAGAGGCTGGGGGCTGTGGATGGAGCCTGGCATGGTGGGTGGGAGGAGCCTGGTGCTAGAGGTAGGAGGAGCCTGGCACTGCATGGAGTCATCCAATAGGTGGTCTTCTGTGACTGGCTTCTTTCACTGAGTGTGATGTTTTCAAGGTGCATCCATGTTGTTGCAGGTGTCAGGACTTTAGTACTTTACATGCCTGAATAATTTCACTTATACATTGCATTCTATCTATCCATGCATCAGTTAACGAGTATTTAGGTGTTTTCCTGCTTTGGGGGTATTATGAATATTCATGTGCCAGTCTTTGCATGGATGAATGTTTTCATTTTTCTTGGGCGTGCACCTAGGAGTGAAACTGCTGGGTCATGTGGTGCCTCCATGCTTAACATTTGAGGAACTGCCAAGCTGTTTTCTGGAGCAGGTGTGATATTGTACGTTCCCACCAGCAAAGTACGAGGGCTCTGTCTCCCCACATACTCTCCAGCTCTTTTTGGCACCTGGCCTGTTTGCTTCTTTAAGTGCAGAGACCTTAGTGAGTGTGAAGTGACTTTGTGGTTTTGATTCATTTTCTCCTGATGACATTGAACATCTTTTCGATTACTGGGCATTTCTTGTTGGAGAAATATCTATTCAAATATTTTATTTTAGTTTGCAGTGTTTTTTTTTTTTGGCCGGGGCTGGATTTGAACCTACCACCTCCGGGGCCAGTGCCCTACTCCTTGAGCCACAGGCACTGCCCTATTCAAATATTTTAAAATGGGTTTTTGTGTCTTTTTCAATCTACTCTGACAGTACCTGTCTTAATCGGTGCATATTAGGCCTTTCACATTTACAGTGACTGGTGATGCAGCTGGCTACGTGTCTTACTTACCTGTAACTTGTGTATTTCTTCTATTTGCTCTTTCTTTTCCCTTCCTTTTCTGCTTTCTCTGGCTTTTATTAATCATTTTCTGTGATTTATTTTATCCCGTCTCTTAGTCTATCAGTTATACTTGTTTTTAGAATATTTTTAGGGGTTGCTGTAGATATCCAGGTCTGCTCTAACACCTCCTCACAGAGCCGACCCCTCTGTCCTCGTCCCTGTGACATCATTGCCATTCTCTTCACTCATCTATATGCTATAATTACTCAATACACTGTTATTATTTTAAAGTTACCTTTTAGATCAATTAAAAATAAGAAAAATCAAAGATCTTATTTTATTTTTCCTTCTCTGATGCTCTTCCTTTCTTTCTGTAGGGCCAGGCTACTGACCTACGGCAACTTCCTTCTCTGTGAAGAACTTCTTTCAACATTTCTTACAGGACAGATCTATGGAAATGAATTCCCTCCATTTTTGTTTTAAAAAGTATTTCTCCTTCCCTTTAAAGGATAATATCATTGATGTAGAATTTTAGGTTGGTAGGTTTTTTCCTTTCAACACTTTAAGTTTTCTTTCTTTCTTTCTTTTTTTTTTTTAAATAGAGATGGGGTCTCGCTGTGTTGCCCTGGTGGGAGCATACTGTCCTCATAGGTGAGGCTGTAGCACTCTGCCCCTGATCTCAAGTGACCCTTCCCCTACATGGGACAAGTGTTCCCCGTGGAGAGTAAATTCCCCACTGCTATGGAGCACACTCTGGGCACGTTTCATGTGGTTACCCCACTCCCCATGCGGGGCCCAGTGGGTCCCTTTCTTGGCTCTTCACTAAAACCTGGTGGGCTTCCTGGAGGCAAAATGCACAGAAGGGTGGGGCTCCCCCCAACTATACCTGGGAGTTTCACACGCTTGGCCTCCAGCACCTCCTCAGACCTAGCAGGTGTGCTCCTTCAGCCACAGCTCCTGGCCGGCTGGTCTTGGTGGGAGCTATTGGTCCATTTCAGGGGACTGGGGGTCCTTTGACCCATGCTGCTTCATGAGTCCAAGGAAAGTCATTGATTTTCAGTTTCTTTCCTGTTGCGAGGGCAGGAGCGAGGGCTTCCACAGTGGAGCTGATACCAGAAATTCTTGTCTATCTTTCTATTTCTTTGTAAGATCTCTTTATTCATATGTGGATACAAGTGCCTCATCTGGTTACTTGCACACATTTCTTTGATCCTGTGGGTTTCTTTTTTTATAATTTCAGGTTAATGTGAGGGTACAGCCAGGTCACAACATTTGAATTTGTTAGGTAGAGTTCCTCTTGTAGTTGTGTCCCAAACCCAAAAGGTGCGCCATACACCCCTACATTAAGGGTCTCACTAATGTGTCCATTAAGTGGAAGCACCCAACCCCCCTCCTCCCATTCCTCCTCTGCTCAAGGTGAATTGAAATGAGTTTTTTTCCTATGTGAGCATGAATTAGATCATCTACTGGCTTCATATTAGTATTGACTACATTGGATTCTTGCTTCTCCATTCTTGTGATACTTTACCAAGAAGAAGGTGTTTCAGCCCCATCCAGGTTAATATAAAAGATGTCAAGTCTCCATCTTTTCTTACAATTGAATAGCATTCCATGGTGTACATACACTATGGTTTGTTGATCCATTCCTGAGTTGATGGGCATTTAGGTTGTTTCCACATCTTGGTGATTATAAATTGAACTGTGATAAACAATCTAGTGCAAATGTCCTTATGATAAAATGATATTTTCTCCTTCTGGGTAGATGCCTAGTAGGGATTGTGGGGTCAAATGAGAGATCTAATTTGAGATCTTTGAGGATTCTCCATACCTCTTTCCAGAGAGGCTGTATTAGTTTATAGTCTCACCAGCAGTGTAAGAGTGTTCCCCTCTCTCCACATCTGCACCAGCATTTGCAACTTTGGGACTTTGTGATGTGGGCTAATCTTACTGGGGTTAGGTGATGTCTCAGGGTGGTTTTGATTTACACTTCTCTGATAAGCAGAAACGATGAGTATTTTTTTCATATGTTTGTTAGCCATTCGTCTCTCTTCTTCACAGAAGGTTCTGTTCATGTCCCTTTCCCAGTGATAGAGGGGATAGTTTGCTCTTTTTTTTTTTTGTTGATTAATTTGAGTTCTCTGTAGATTCTAGTTATGTACCCTTTAACAGATTTGTAACATGCAAATATTTTTTCCCATTCTGAAGTTGTCTATTTGCTTTGATTGCTGTGTCCTTAGCTATGCAGAAGCTTTTCAGTTTAATTAAGTCCCATTTGTTTATTTTTGTGTTGTGATTGCTGCTGAAGTCTTCTTCATAAAATCTTTCCCCAGGCTGACATCATCGAGAGTTTTTCTCACACTTTCTTCTAGGATTTCAATCATTTCATGCCTTGGGTTTAAATATTTTATCCATCTTGAATCAATTTTTATAAGTGGTGAAAAGCATGAATCTAATTTCAGTCTTTTACATGTGGTTATCCAGTTATCCCAGCACCATTTATTGAATAGGGAATCTTTCCCCAGTGTATGCTTTTGTCTGGTTTATCGAAGAGCAGATGGCAAGTAGAGATTGGTTTCAACTCTTGATTTTCTATTCGGTTCCAAATGTCTATGTCTCTATTTTTTTGTGCCAATACATGCTGTTTTGATCATTGTGGACTTGTAACATAGCCTAAAGTCTGATAGAGTGATGCCTCCAGCTTTGTTTTTATTATAAAAAATTGCCTTGGAGATATCATTTTTTTCTGGTTCCATATGAAATGAAGAACTATTTTTTCCAGTTCTTCAAAGTATGATGTTGGTATTTTAATGGAGATTGCATTGAATCTGTAGACTGCTTTGGAAGGTGCAGACATTTTAACAATGTTGATTCTTCCCAGCCAGGAGCATAGTATGCTCTTCCATTTGTTAATGTCTTCTGTTATT